TATCTCCATGTTTCCCTATCTAAAGCTAACTCCTTCCAATCCAATCCTGGTCTCACTTTCTCTATGTCTTCTTTGATTATTATTATTGTTATTATACATATGCTTGACTATTTTTAAACGCAACTTAAATGTATATTACATTTATTTTATGATTTTTACTAGACCCGGGAGAGTTTACCATCGGAAGAGTTTACAATCTCCCTATAATTAGGGGCGTATTTAGAAATGGTTTATGGGGGGGTGGGGTATAAATCAATAATTCAAATTATATACAGTTGTAACTTAAATTATTTTCCATCTTGAAATAATGTCATAATTCATAACCAAATAACTAAAGTGAATATTGTGTTTGGTAGAAAAATAATTTATAATTTGAAAGAGCTCGGTTGATACTCCCTGTAATAAAAGTGTATAATACAGTGTATTTGGAGGGGGGAGGGTCAACGGGCACGGTTATTATTGTAATATTATTTTACAGCAAGTTTATTTTATTAGTGATATTGTAGCGAGTATGAGTAGCATGATTAAAGATATCAAATATATTAAATATATCTTTAATCATGATGAGTAGTRTGACGATTACAGATAAAACCGGAAGTATCGTACAATTAAATTTTAATCGATGATATTTAGTTTATCGATCATCATTGTTGTTAGCAAATTTAACTCATATACTATTATTATTATATACTTTAATATAAATTAAATTTATAGCATTAATGCAATCATGTCAAACATTTAAAACCCAAATCGCAAAATTAATATGAATTTAATATTATTTCAACAGCATAGTTTCGGATTTCTGTACAAATTTAAAAATAAATAGGTAGGTACTATTATTATTTGAAAATGTTATATTTAGTCCCYCTCCCCCTCATTAAGATCCTTGAATTTAGAGCCATACAATATTAGTTATTGGGTAGGTGGCTAATACTTATGTGCTTATGTGATTCTTTAGTAAAATACATTTGACGTTTTTTACTTTGTCGTTTCTTACTTTTGTCGGTTTTGCCGTGTCGTTTTTTACTGATTACCGATCTTCATTCTGCTCTTAGGTACCAACAATTATTTCATAGCTCATCTAAATAAATACGTCATAATGCAATATACATCTACGATTTGACATTTGAGCTCATCTTTGTACTGTTAAGTTTACTATAAATATTATAATACGTAATATATTTTTCTCTTGTACGTATTTGGACGGTTTAGTTACGTAACTATATATAGGTACTAATTCCCTAGGTATGTAGTCAGCCGGATGATGGATGGTCGGAGTGCTGCGGCCGACCGGTAAAAATGACATAATAATAGCTATTAGGCTTGCCCTACCACCGCCCAATAAACAATTTATCGTTATTTTTCGAACGTGTATAGGTACGCCGTATACGTATTACGGCGGCGGAAGAACATCACGCCACGGAACTCCCCGGTCGCACACGGATGTAATATAGTATACACAATATGTGCTTTACACATATATAGGTATCTTTATTATTATTAATATTACGCAACGATCTATAAAAACACACACACACACACCGGTGGTAACCGCCGCAACATAAAAACGTATATTTTGTGGCGGTGGGTATGGGTATGAGTATGGTATATAATATTAGTAATAATACGATGTATATTATAGTAAGGATTTACTGCAAAGGGAGATAGAATGGAGAAATAGCAGTGCGACAGACGGAGAGGCGTCAGCGTCAATGAGAGAGAGAGAGAGTGAGTGAGAGACATGCATGCACACATTACCGCACCGACCAGACGACAGTCCGTATGAGCCCCCGCGATATACTTTCACTATCGTCGACAAACTGATCGCACTCGTCGGCCATAACGTCGCACCGTAACACGTCGCCGTCTTGTCGGTTCTTATAATATAATAAAGTTATTATTCGCCATCGTATCGCCCACCTGTAGGCATACACCGTCGCTACCGACGACGACTCCGCTTACACATTAGAATAGGGAAGAAAGCCAAAAGAAGATTCTAAAAATCAGATTCTACGCCGTTTCGCTGTTTATTTATTTCTAAACGCCATACCTGAATGGTATTCATTTAGCGCGCGTTTTCGTTTTCTTTTAGTGTTTTCAGTTTTTTTTTTTTATATCAATTTGTTTTCTTTTTGTACTTCATCCGTTCACGATGTATCGGTCGGCGCACCCATCCACGTGTGCKGKACGATTGATCTAGAAACATCCGATTTAAATACCATAAACGTATATAGCGCAATTTGGCGTTGTTGGCCAAACATAGAGCGCTCTACTGCCATAAAAAATAGMATAAATTCATTATCACGTGCACGTGCAATTAGGAGGATGGTGACACCCTCGTACACAGCCGCCGCCGATCGTTCGGTGTCGCTGGCACTCCGAGCGTCTCTGTTGATTACGGTAATCGTCACATTTTCCCGACCCGCCGAAGCTGTCCTTTCCGTAAACGCCACACGTGAGTACTTACCAATATTGCAACGATTTAATACAATATTATTTTAATAAATKTTAGTTGTCKCATTATGTTATTGTTATTATTTTATTACCCATTAGTATATTATTTTCATCCAGTTGGACTATTTGTGTATATTTTATTTTAATATATCATACTTATAGTCTATACTTCACTGGTCAGACGGATTTAAGTCTGTAGTTCGTGTACATTATATTTATTATACGTACCTATCCTATAATTATATTGCGCACGTCAAGTCGTAAGATGAAAACGCATACGCGGCACGCGACTGTACACGGAAACTTGGCGTAGAAAGTACTTTATTATACTTATMTGTCTTACCCAACTCATTGTTGAGTTTAAATGAGTTTTCTTATTCCATTTATGTACCGCGTGAAGACATCGGTCGCGTTTTAAATTTTAAAACGCTGTTATTAAAATATTTAATATATATTGATAAGTACTCGTATACGAGAATAGTACTACTATATTCGGTGTCATAAGTTGTTAGGTCATCATGCAAAAGTACGATTATTTATTTGGATTTAGTTTTTATTCCAGCCCACGTAAGACGTATGGCGAATAGGTGTGTGTDTACATTATAATATATTTATCTTTCTTTTGTCTAAGTACTGCAGACGTATTACATAAATCGCGACTGTTCCGTGAAATGGTTTGTTTGTTTAATAACGAATACTAATAATAATTACGTGTTTTTACTTTCGTAACATGATAATAATATATAATAATATTATAACGGTCTTGCAGAACAACGATCATCAAATAGGAGGTACCAACATGTTATTTTCATAGTTTTATTGACGACCGCTTTAAAAGTACACACACATATTATTTACGCCATTGCTATATTTAGTGTTTACTTCCTCTTATTTTGATAAACCGATACCATTTTACGACATACAATCGGTTTTCGTTTTGTATTTATAAAATAATTAACACTTTACAACAGTCATCGATAGCTACCTTTCCGTAGTCTCCGTTGAGTACTTTGAAGTCGATAAGTCGGTCCATTTAATTATTTTAATAATACCAAGGGAATGGCATTACCATGGGTGTCCCCAGACATTTTTTTAGGGAAGAATTAATTTGAAAAATAAATGAGGATTTTTTTATACATCTGATGCTTACATTTTAAAAATTTTAACATTTTACCAAGGGCCGTTTTATATGAACTCTTAGCACACGCGACGTATCTTACGCGCGCGTTTTCAATTTAATTGGTTAATTATTCATATGGGCCACTCAAACTATGGCGCGTATGAACTTGATCGATGTAAATTAAAAACACGCGCCCGTGTGAAACGGACATAAAGTACATTTTTTTTCGGTCGTGCGGCAAAATCGATAGACACGATTATTGATTTTGGCGCTATTCCATTGCTGCAGGGGTTTTGATATAGCCCTATCATATCAGTCATCACTATATATAACGGCACTCCTGCAGCGGATCGCGTATTGTACAATATATTGGAGCCTACACCTCTTGTACATAGGCAGCAATAACTAATAAGTATCTGCCGTGTGCAGTGGCGTGCGCAGG